TGAGTGGATTCTAGCAGTAAAGGATCATAAAAAGGAGTTTGCATGCTCTCCAGTTCAGCAATGTTTCCAGCTTTGAAAGGGGCTGTCATTGTGCAGCAGTACTCCACTCTAGAGAGCACTAGCGTTTTTCAAAGTACTGTATCACCATTGGTACAGCTTCTCTGATGTGAAAAGTTCTTGTTATCCAACCTGTCATTGTTCTTGCAGTTGTGACGGCTACTTAATTGTGTTCTTTAAAGGTAAAGTCCTCCAACATGAGTACACCCAGATCCTTTACATTGCCTTTTCGTTCTGTTTTAATTTGCCCGAGTTTTGTACATGGTTTCCGTTTTTATATTTTCATTTTTTCCATAGCGCATGAGTTCATGATACGAGGTGACAGTATTAGGCATAAGATGACGGTCCTGGAACAACCAAGAAAGAAAGGACACCACCACCCGAACCGAAAGCGAAGAGGAACGACGAATGGAAGGACTGCCAGGAAACGTCATACTGCCGCCGAAAAGCCCACAAGTGGGAACCATCAGAGAGGCCACCTGAGCACCATAGAGATGGTGATAAACCCGAGTCAAAAACACCAAACGAGAAGACTCTAGGAGAAGAGCGAACCAGTCTCGTACCGCACCGGGCCGATCTCCTGAAAGATGTGGAGCCGCAAAAAACCTCTGGGTTTGGACACCGGGCAAGCAGCGCCTGAAACCATGGCTGGGCCGGTCACCATGGTGCCAAGAGGGCTACTCGCCCCTGGTAAGTCCACAGGAAGAAGTTCACCTCCGGGTGCCAGAACGTCTGGCAGAGCCAACTGAATGAGTCGGCGTCGACCGTCCATTCCATAGACAGGGGAACGAACCGGGACAGGCTATCCGCTAGAACGTTGGACACCCCCCAGACATGAACTGCCAAGAGAGCGAAACCCTGAGAACTCAGCAGATGAGTCTCCCGAAGATACCAACCCCAAAGAGCCAAGGACCGCATCGAAGTCCTGCGGTTTATGCAATGAACCACTGGGAAGCAGTCCGAATGGAGCCGGATCGTCGATCCGCTTGCGATCCGAACATTCGAAGTGCAAACCACACCATGCTGTGGGCCAGACGGAATGACAGACCCCACCGCTCCTGGCCGGCCTGGTGAGCACTGGTCACAAAGCCCCAGCCGAGAGACGACGCGTCCATTAACACATCAAGCGAAGACTCGGAGAGGTGCCAAGGCACAGAACCCCGAAAAACCCGAAGAGGAAGCTGGCAACGCAACAGCCAACACAAGGATCCCGGGGGTCGAACCCAGCGATCACGAAAGGCGGAAGGGACATCCCCGAAGGAACCAGAAAAGCCGACAAAGCCAAACCCGACCCAGCAGGTAGACCAACATCGCAAAGTTCAGGCTCCCGCACAGACCCCTCAAGCAACCGCAGGGGCGACCTGGGAACCCCCCCCCCCAGAAACAAGCACATGCGGGACTACAGTGGAGAGACACCAGAGGAAGAGACAAGGAAGTGGTCCGAGAGTCCCAAACAAGACCCAGCCGGGACTGAACCTAGGAGGGAACCAGATGAGACTTCCTCCAGTTCACCAGGAACCCGAACCCAGCCAGCTGGGAAAGCACCAAATCCCTGGCGAGCAGACACACGGACCGACTGGGAGCCCAAACCAGCCAGTCGTCGAGGTAAGCCAACACCTGAACATCTAACAGACGCAGACGGGCCACCACTACCCGGGTAAGATGTGTGAACATGCGAGGTGCCAGATTCAACTCGAACGGGAGACAACGAAAGCGGTAACTCTGACGCCCCACAACAAAACCAAGCCAGTCCCGGAACCCCAGATGAATAGGGACATGACAATACGCATCCTTGAGGTCCAAGGACACCATCCAAGCGCCTGGCTCCAACAGAAGCCAGACCTGGGACAAAGTGGACATCCGAAACGAGGGGCATGAAACCCAAGGGTTCAGACAGAACAAATCCAGAATGAACCGCAGGTCTGCACAGTCCCGTCTCAGAATTGGAAACAGGTGGGAAACCCACCTGAGAGACGTCGTCTTTTCGACCACGCCCAAGCGCACCCACTAAAAGATGACCCGACAGAGCGCAGGAGAGGAAGCCTGGCCTGTCAGCCCCGAACCCCCCAAAGGAGGAGGAGCCACACAACGCCACAGTAGGCCGAGAGAAACAACCCGAAAAGCCCACAAACTGTGAGACCAGGTGTGAGCGAACAGAGCAAGCCTCTTCCCCCACTGCCCCATCAATGGGGCAAACTGCAAAAAGGCCGCTGCCAATTACGAGAACCCAATCTGCGCACAAAGCGAACATCGCACCAATCTGGCGCAGTCAGGACCACAGGCGGCACTGGCACCGAACCCGACACCTGTGGCCGACCCTGACAAATGGAACCACAAGCTCTGGCACGAACCCACCGGGAAGGAACCCCCCGGTTCACCCGGATAACCAACAATTCAAACATAGGATGGCAAGTGGAAGAAGCAGCCTGAATATAACACTCAACCGCAGAGGCCTCAAAAAGCAGAGGAAAAAAGGGGAAGACAATCTAAGAACCAGGGCCCAAGCGGATTCCAAAGAGGAAGCGAGAACAGCCTGTCGACACGCAAAACGTGCAGTGAAAAACCGCAGCAACCCCTCTCGCAGGATCGACACAGATTCAAAACAGCAGACGACGAACGAGCAGCAGAGACTAAGGCGCCAGACCCAGGAACAGCTCTAAGTGCCTCTACATCCTCCACAAGCCAATCCGAAGACAGCTCCAGGAGGAAAATGAAATGCAGAACTGAAACCAAAAAAACACGAGCGCACAAGTCCTCAGCCACAAGAACAGCTGACAAGGAAGAAACCTGCTCATGAAGCTGAACTGCACCAATATCCCGCAAAAGGACAGGAGCAAAAAGGCACTCATTAAGATATGCAAAATCACCTCCCAGGTAAACCCGGACCACCGTCAACGCCTCGCGCCATTCAAACATACGGGTCTGAAAGAAAGAGTCCCAAGCATCCAACGAAAACAAGGGGCAGTCCGCAAGCCTGGATGACCCCGGAACCTCATAACGCACCCAGTAAGGACACAAAGATCCAAACCTGAACTAAGAAGGATCCATTATGGAGGCATACTCCGGGTCACGCAGGAGGTAAGCCGCAATGGCCGACCACACCTCAGGCGGCGAGATGCGGGAAGCCGAAAACCTCCGGAAAGACGGAACCAAAGAATCCGCAGGGACACGGAACCGAACCCGGGGAGGAGCAGAACCCAAATCCAAATCTTACACAGAGGGGGGGAAAAGAAAACTCCACTCCTTGCAACAGTAAGCCCCCACTCAGAAGGACAGAAAATCCAGGCGGGGTCCAAAGGAGCCCAATAAACAGCATGAAAGTTGAAGATCCAAACAAGTTTATGACTGACATCCAAGCTGCAGATAATATACACAACTGATATTAGCACAAACTCAGAAGACTTTGAAAGAGAAATTGACAACATGCACATGCACTGAGCCCCTGATCCTGACTCACAGAATTTCATATTCATAAAGAAATGTAAAGTACAGTGCCAGGAGCACAAGTGCTCAGTGTAATATGGAAAAAGAGCCTGGATACAGGGAATACTTGCTTGATCCATATCAAGCAGGGGGAGATCCATATCAAGCAGGGGCCTCAAGTACTGCTGGTATCAAGCAAGATACCAGCAGTACTTTAATCAGCAGATATAGCTCCTCAGGACAAAGGGAGGTAATAAAACTTAGGTAAAAAATTATGGACCAGTTGCACTAACATCTGACATAATAAATGGTTTTGAAAAGAGTGATTATGAACCAAGTTTCCGGTTTTATTGAAAATAAGGAACTTTACAACCCAGGAAACCATGGATTTAGAGAGGGAAGATCCTGTCTGTCATAGTTACTCAGCCACTACAACAAAATCACAGAAGCTTCAGAAGAAAAACAAAATGCAGATATTGTATACACAGACTTTGCAAAGGCATTTGACAAATGTAACCATGGAGTGATAACTCATAAAATGAGATCAATAGGAATATCCTAACTTCCTATTAATCTCTTCTCTTCAACAACCTAACTAGTGGGTGAATAACCAAACTAGCAGGTGAACAACCTAACTAGTGAGTGAATGATTTAACTACCATGTGTCTCATTTTCAGAGTTGTTCAGATTTACCTTGATGGTGTCTGTTTTGTCTCGCTGTAACTTTCAGGTGGCTTTCTTGGTTATGGTGGTTATCTTCTTGAGGTTATCTTGAGATGATTTCGGGGCTTTTTAGTGTCCCCGCGGCCCGGTCCTCGACCAGGCCTCCACCCCCAGGAAGCAGCCCGTGACAGCTGACTAACTCCCAGGTACCTATTTACTGCTAGGTAACAGGGGCATTCAGGGTGAAAGAAACTTTGCCCATTTGTTTCTGCCTCGTGTGGGAATCGAACCCGCGCCACAGAATTACGAGTCCTGCGCGCTATCCACCAGGCTACGAGGCCCCCCCAGTGATCTAGCATCCCCAGCTCCCTGCGCATTCATGAAAGGACCAGGTTTTGGCCTGTGGTGTCCGATAGGCTTTTAATGACACATAAGTGTGTGACGTGATGTGTTGAGCTATCAAGGTGGTTAGGAACAGGGAGGCACCAAGGGAGCCCTCAGAGAAAAATCCAAGTATCGAATTTTTCTTTTTCTTTCATAAATTAAGTAAACTGGGTGAGGGGGGGGTTCATTAGGACCATGGATTCGTGCAATTCAATTTTGCTGACTCACGTTGTAGGGGGGAGAGCTATGATGATCATGTTAGTTGGTTTATATGTTCATTTCACTTCAATTTACAGTGTGTGTGTGTGTGTGTGTGTGTGTGTGGGTGTGTGTGTGTGTAATAGCTCAATTTATTTATGCATAATTGACAAAAGCAGTGAATGAGTACTGTACATAGGCCTACAATGTAATACATAAACCTATATTGCACATAAATCAGTTACTGGCAAAAGCTGATCACACAGGGTCACACAGGGCCCGATGGTCTGCAGTGTGAAGCTGATCACACAGGGCCCGATGGTCTGCAGTGTGAAGCTGATCACACAGGGCCCGATGGTCTGCAGTGTGAAGCTGATCACACAGGGCCCGATGGTCTGCAGTGTGAAGCTGATCACACAGGGCCCGATGGTCTGCAGTGTGAAGCTGATCACACAGGGCCCGATGGTCTGCAGTGTGAAGCTGATCACACAGGGCCCGATGGTCTGCAGTGTGAAGCTGATCACACAGGCCCCGATGGTCTGCAGTGTGAAGCTGATCACACAGGCCCCGATGGTCTGCAGACGATGATATCAGTGGGTCTAGCATCTCACAATCATACCCTACCGAAAGGAAACACACATAAATACTATGGATAACTTACATATGTATACGAATAATAGTAAAAATCCATGCCACATCCCATGATGCAAGGGGTGGAGTATCATATCACAAGGGGTGGTGTATCATATCACAAGGGGTGGTGTATCATAACACAAGGGGTGGTGTATCATAACACAAGGGGTGGTGTATTTGCAAAGGTGTTCGACAAATGTGACCATGGGGTGATAGCTCACAAAATGAGGTCAATGGGAATAACTGGAAAAGTAGGACGCTGGATACTCAATTTCCTGTCGAACAGAACACAAAGAGTAACAGTCAATCAGATAAAATTGAGTCCAAGCGATGTTAAAAGCTCTGTACCTCAAGGTACAGTCCTTGCACCTCTATTGTTCCTTATTCTCATATCCGATATAGACAAAAATACACGTCACAGCTTCATGTCGTCCTTTGCAGATGACACAAAAATCAGCATGAAAATTACTTCTGCTGAAGACATTGAAAAACTACAAGCAGATGTCAACAAAGTTTTCGATTGGGCAACAGAAAATAACATGATGTTTAACAGTGATAAATGTCAGGTACTCAGGTACGGCAAAAATGAGGATCTGAAACATAATACAGAGTACAAAACACAATCGAATCTTCCCATAATAGAAAAACAGCATGTAAAGGATTTGGGAATAATGATGTCCGACGATCTAACGTTTAGGGAGCATAACCAAGCAGATATCGCGTCAGCCAGAAAAATGATCGGATGGATTACAAGAACTTTCAAATCCAGGGATCCCATCACAATGGTTGTACTCTTCAAGTCACTTGTGTTGTCCCGTCTCGAGTACTGCTCAGTACTCACTTCCCCCTTCAGAGCAGGAGAGATTGCTGAAATAGAGGGAATACAGAGAACATATACGGCACGCATAGAAGAAATAAAACACCTAAATTATTGAGATCGTCTCAAAGCTCTCCAAATGTACTCTCTAGAAAGGAGACGAGAGAGATACCAAATAATATACACATGGAAAATACTGGAGGGCCAGGTCCCAAATCTACACAGTAAAATAACAACGTACTGGAGTGAACGATATGGAAGAAAATGCAAGATTGAACCAGTGAAGAGCAGAGGTGCCATAGGCACAATCAGAGAGCACTGTATAAACATCAGAGGTCCGCGGTTGTTCAACGTCCTCCCAGCGACTTTAAGAAATATTGCCGGAACAACCGTGGACATCTTCAAGAGAAAACTGGACTGTTTTCTAAGAGAAATTCCGGATCAGCCGGGCTGTGGTGGGTATGTGGCCCTGCGGGACGCTCCAAGCAACAGCCTGGTGGACCAAACAATCTCTCAAGTCGAGCCTGGCCTCGGGCCGGGCTTGGGGAGTAGAAGAACTCCCAGAACCCCATCAACCCAGTATCAACCAGATACCAGGTACCAAGGGGTGATGTATCATAACACAAGGGGTGATGTATCATAACACAAGGGGTGGTGTATTATAACACAAGGGGTGGTGTATTATAACACAAGGGGTGGTGTATCATAACACAAGGGGTGGTGTATTATAACACAAGGGGTGGTGTATCATAACACAAGGGGTGATGTATTATAACACAAGGGGTGATGTATCATAACACAAGGGGTGGTGTATTATAACACAAGGGGTGGTGTATCATAACACAAGGGGTGGTGTATTATAACACAAGGGGTGGTGTATTATAACACAAGGGGTGGTGTATCATAACACAAGGGGTGATGTATCATAACACAAGGGGTGATGTATCATAACACAAGGGGTGGTGTATTATAACACAAGGGGTGGTGTATCATAACACAAGGGGTGATGTATCATAACACAAGGGGTGGTGTATTATAACACAAGGGGTGGTGTATCATAACACAAGGGGTGATGTATCATAACACAAGGGGTGATGTATCATAACACAAGGGGTGGTGTATTATAACACAAGGGGTGATGTATTATAACACAAGGGGTGGTGTATCATAACACAAGGGGTGGTGTATTATAACACAAGGGGTGGTGTATCATAACACAAGGGGTGGTGTATTATAACACAAGGGGTGATGTATCATAACACAAGGGGTGGTGTATTATAACACAAGGGGTGGTGTATCATAACACAAGGGGTGATGTATCATAACACAAGGGGTGGTGTATTATAACACAAGGGGTGGTGTATCATAACACAAGGGGTGGTGTATTATAACACAAGGGGTGGTGTGGTGTATCATAACACAAGGGGTGGTGTATCATAACACAAGGGGGGTATCATAACACAAGGGGTGATGTATCATAACACAAGGGGTGGTGTATATAACACAAGGGGTGGTGTATTATAACACAAGGGGTGGTGTATCATGTATGTATCATAACACAAGGGGTGGTGTATCATAACACAAGGGGTGGTGTATTATAACACAAGGGGTGGTGTATTATAACACAAGGGGTGGTGTATCATAACACAAGGGGTGATGTATCATAACACAAGGGGTGATGTATCATAACACAAGGGGTGATGTATCATAACACAAGGGGTGGTGTATCATAACACAAGGGGTGGTGTATTATAACACAAGGGGTGGTGTATTATAACACAAGGGGTGGTGTATAATAACACAAGGGGTGATGTATCATAACACAAGGGGTGGTGTATTATAACACAAGGGGTGGTGTAGGGGTGGTGTATATAACACAAGGGGTGGTGTATCATAACACAAGGGGTGATGTATCATAACACAAGGGGTGGTGTATTATAACACAAGGGGTGGTGTATCATAACACAAGGGGTGGTGTATTATAACACAAGGGGTGGTGTATTATAACACAAGGGGTGGTGTATCATAACACAAGGGGTGATGTATCATAACACAAGGGGTGGTGTATCATAACACAAGGGGTGGTGTATCATAACACAAGGGGTGGTGTATCATAACACAAGGGGTGGTGTATTATAACACAAGGGGTGGTGTATCATAACACAAGGGGTGGTGTATTATAACACAAGGGGTGATGTATCATAACACAAGGGGTGATGTATCATAACACAAGGGGTGGTGTATCATAACACAAGGGGTGGTGTATTATAACACAAGGGGTGGTGTATTATAACACAAGGGGTGGTGTATCATAACACAAGGGGTGTTGTATCATAACACAAGGGGTGATGTATCATAACACAAGGGGTGGTGTATTATAACACAAGGGGTGGTGTATCATAACACAAGGGGTGGTGTATCATAACACAAGGGGTGGTGTATTATAACACAAGGGGTGGTGTATTATAACACAAGGGGTGGTGTATCATAACACAAGGGGTGGTGTATTATAACACAAGGGGTGGTGTATTATAACACAAGGGGTGGTGTATTATAACACAAGGGGTGGTGTATAACACATAACACAAGGGGTGGTGTATTATAACACAAGGGGTGGTGTATCATAACACAAGGGGTGGTGTATCATAACACAAGGGGTGGTGTATCATAACACAAGGGGTGGTGTATTATAACACAAGGGGTGGTGTATTATAACACAAGGGGTGGTGTATATAACACAAGGGGTGGTGTATTATAACACAAGGGTGTGTGTATTATAACACAAGGGGTGGTGTATTATAACACAAGGGGTGGTGTATCATAACACAAGGGGTGGTGTATTATAACACAAGGGGTGGTGTATTATAACACAAGGGGTGGTGTATTATAACACAAGGGGTGGTGTATTATAACACAAGGGGTGGTGTATCATAACACAAGGGGTGGTGTATTATAACACAAGGGGTGGTGTATCATAACACAAGGGGTGGTGTATTATAACACAAGGGGTGGTGTATCATAACACAAGGGGTGGTGGGGTGGTGTATCATAACACAAGGGGTGGTGTATTATAACACAAGGGGTGGTGTATAACACATAACACAAGGGGTGGTGTATTATAACACAAGGGGTGGTGTATCATAACACAAGGGGTGGTGTATCATAACACAAGGGGTGGTGTATCATAACACAAGGGGTGGTGTATCATAACACAAGGGGTGGTGTATCATAACACAAGGGGTGGTGTATCATAACACAAGGGGTGGTGTATCATAACACAAGGGGGTGTATTATAACACAAGGGGTGGTGTATCATAACACAAGGGGTGGTGTATTCATAACACAAGGGGTGGTGTATCATAACACAAGGGGTGGTGTATTATAACACAAGGGGTGATGTATCATAACACAAGGGGTGGTGTATTATAACACAAGGGGTGGTGTATCATAACACAAGGGGTGGTGTATTATAACACAAGGGGTGGTGTATCATAACACAAGGGGTGGTGTATTATAACACAAGGGGTGGTGTATCATAACACAAGGGGTGTATTATAACACAAGGGGTGGTGTATCATAACACAAGGGGTGGTGTATCATAACACAAGGGGTGGTGTATCATAACACAAGGGGTGGTGTATTATAACACAAGGGTGGTGTATCATAACACAAGGGGTGTGTGTATTATGGTGTACATAACAAGGGGTGGTGTATTATAACACAAGGGGTGATGTATTATAACACAAGGGGTGGTGTATTATAACACAAGGGGTGGTGTATTATAACACAAGGGGTGGTGTATTATAACACAAGGGGTGAAATCTCCTAACACAAGGGGTGGAATCTCCTAACACAAGGCAACCCGTTCTCACACAAGACAGCACATATATGACTTAATGCTTAAAGTCAATATGTTGAATATGAATTAGTAAATATGTGATATATTCCCAGTTACTTTTTTTACCAAGGCCCAAACTCTTCCTCACGTACCAATTTACGTGTCACAGTACCCGTCCGTCAACATAGATAGCAGAATTTTCGTGATTGGTTCAATTATAAGGAAAATTGTAGTTTTCAGGTCCCACATGGGTTGTGAAATTTACCTACTGTTGTCCATGCTCTTATAATATTACAGATCAGATATATCCTATTGAAGGCTCGTAGTTTTGT